CAACGCCCGGGGAAGAAGGCAGGTGTGCACAAGAAGACCCGTCGAGAGTTAAGACTTCGTGAAGATGAGGAAGACGGCGGTGATGAACATGAGAGTGAGCAAGAGTAGGCTGGCTAGCGTGACATCAAAAGAATATGGGCGCTTGTCATGTCGTAATACACATTTCCTTGAGCATCTGTACTTTTTGTTCTGTCTCGTCTACTGGTCTGGATTCATAAAACAGCTCTGTGCACCACTTTTCCCCCGATATGCAGCAGATCTTCCCGCTGTACTTTCTAATGTGGGTCAACTTACGACATACAGTGTTTTCTGCTAGCTACTAAGTAGTATAACTTACGACTTCTGAGAGAGCAACCTGTCAAAAAACTTATACACCTATACGCACGTCGAACATATGCCACATACAAACAAGTACTGACATGGACATGTCGTAAGTTACGACATTATTTATCTCGTTTTCGATACACTTCGCCGGGAATCAAGGGGTTAAGTGTCGCGGGATCAAAGCTACTAAAGTACTTTTAATTAATTGGCTTTTTTCTTAAACTGGTTCTCCACTTGACTTGTATTATAGGGGCTCTCGCTTTGGACTGGAAGGGCTAACAGTGGGTCACCGTCCCACATCTGGGACGATATTTTTGGTAATTTTGGAGGAATTGTGCTAGGCTCTCACTCATGCGTTGTTATTTTAAGGACCTTATGAGATGCGAGAAGAAGAAAGTAGAATACCAGCTAAGGCACTTACAAAAGAATTTGCGCACTACTCAAGATGCCAAATAACTTAAGGACATATTTTCAGCCAGGACAAGAAATCGCGTACGGTCTTGAAGTTACATAGCGAGACCCTAAAAACTCTAAATGATTCTAGAGGCTTGCAAATTCTGTATTAAACAGAACGGTTTCTCGAGCTTTGCAGTTCTTCAAACCCGGTGGTGTAGCTGCTTACAAAGTGAACATTAAATTCCTGCAACTAGTTGGCTTCGTCTCAAATGGTGCCTCATTCCGTGCAGCGCGGTTTGCTCAAACTACTTAAGAGGTCACTAACCTCAGCTATAGACGTGGAGCTTATGATGCTGTCATACATACGCAGAAATGACCACAAAAACGCATTGCGACTGTGCAAGAGGATGAAATACAAAAAATGTATTTAAACCGCCGCACAGATGAAGACGGAATTCGCTGGTAGATGGATGCTCGTTGACGGAAAGTACAAGGTGAGTTTGCGGCAGGTCAAGGAACCTCAACGTATCGAAATTTTACTCGTCAGTATTTTAACTTTTTAATATGTTCTTACCGTAAGCAAGTAGGAGCATTGCCCATCCAGCACTATTTAAATAATGTTGGATAAGCAATGTTCCTACTTGCTCCGATCAGCTCCCAATACAATTCCGAACTCGCGATGTTCGGAATTTAAAATACAGGACTTGCATTTTCCCAGTTTACTCTAAAAAACAAAGTTTATGTACCTACCTGTTCGGCTCTGACATTGATCCAATGACTGTTGCTCGGTATCATTCTGCTAGCAAACAACACTAACATGTATTTTTTGGGGTCTTTCAGCTAAGTACGCTTAGAAAGATTACGTTTTTATCAGAACCAGAATAACAAAATAACTAGTTGTGGGGGGCTCTCTTTACGCTTATCAGCTGCTATGGGAGGCGGCGAATCGTGATACATTTAAGACCGCAAGTAGTATTAGTAGACTGAAGCATGTGCAATTATCTGTCGACGAGATACACCAACTGAGCTTAGAGAAAGAAATGTATAGCATTCAGATTATATTTCAAATTTCGGTACCATTTTTGGTCCTTAATCTGCTTCGTACTGACGTTTTATCTGTTCCAGTCATCCAGGACACCATCGTGAAGTGCTAGCGCAATATCTTGATGAGAGAAGAAGATAGGAGGTGCATGACTGGTTACCGTTTGCGTGTACGCTTAGGCCGTCATTCAGACCCGACGCTCACTCTTGATAACCAACGGCTGTGGTAGCTCAGAGCGCTTTGGAGAATGTCAATGGGATAGCACAATATAACGACAGGGAAGGAACTGGAATAAATAAATTTCCACTGCGTCTGCGTCTTGTGCTAAAGCTACATATTTTCAAACCGATAAATACAAAAATCATTCCGAAATTTTAAGGATGTGAGCTTAAGCCCACTCTTCCTTCTACTATTCCTTTCAAGTGACGAAAAAGGTAGAACACCGCCTTGCTCGCTCGGCAGGTACGTTTTCGTTATTAATAATGGTCAAGGATAGTGGCACCAAACAAGAACTCGTAAAAATTTATATGTTGGGGCACCAAACAATTTTAAGGCACGAAACCAAGACACCAAACAGCTTAAAGGCAAGAAACGAAGAAACTTTATTACCCACTGTAAAATTATACTTAAGTTTTAGGGATGGGTGTCATGTCGAGCAAATTCTGAAAGCCACCAGCATCGGCGGCAACATTATCACCAAAGTAGCCCCCTGCCTGATCAAGGAGCACCAACCCGGCTCTAAGTATAGCATGTTAGGTCATGCTTAAGCCAACCTCTGAAGTGCTTACACTTTAATGCACTAGCACGGATTCATTAAACTCCGTTTCGGATGAACTGAGAGGCAGGGCATGGGAAAAATAATATAATATCAATACAATTGATATTATATTGACGGAATAACATATTATTGCTACTGTCACATTTCAGTTTAATACAAAATGTTGTATAATACAATTGTATTGTACCGTGTCCAACCGTTTGAGCGCTGACCGTCACACAACAACCATTCCTCATCGGCCTCTAGTCAGTATTGTGCTCCTCAGCTTCAGTACGAAGCTTATTCCCAAATTCGCCCACCAAGCACCAGACAACCCCATCACCACTACCTCATGACGTCGCGCCAGCTCTGTAGTTTTTTCTACGTGGACCTCGGCGAAGGCCTATTCGAATGCAAGAAGTGCGGGTGTAGCCGCAAACAAAGCGCTGGTACGGGCTATAGTAACCTTCTTGACCACCTTGGCACCAAGCACGCCGGCTACGTGGAGGAGTATGCCGAGCTTCAGGCCGCATCTACCGCAACGATTGACACGTTCGGATTTGTCGACGATGCGACGCTAACCATCTACTTATGGATGAGGTGGATTATCCAGCGGAACCTGCCGATCACGGAGGTAGAGAACAAGCTAACACGCGACGTGGTGAAGATGAAGCCGATAACTGTCAAGACAATGAAGCTCTATATGCGCTTTGTAGCCGGCAAGCAATCGCATCTGAAATGGGCGAGTCATTCGCCCTGATGTTCGACGGCTGGACGTGTAATTCGTTACACTTCCTGGGCATATTTGCCGTGTACGTGGCGAATGGAGTGCGATACCAGCGGCTCATATCCCTGTCCCCAATGGACGGAAGCCAGACAGCCGATGCACACTGTGAACACATTGAGTCCATTTAGTGTGTGTATGGGAAAGAGCTCAGTATGGTGCGGTTTCTTATAGGCGACAACTGTTCGACCAATCAGTGCCTTGCAAACAAAATCGGCGTCCCGCTGATTGGCTGTTCCAGCCATCGCTTCAACCTTGCAGTCAATCCCTTTTTGGAGGATTATCAGAATCAGATTGATATTATCCAAGTTTTGATGATTCAGCTATGCCAATCCAACAACGCTGCAGCCCTTGCGAGGGTAACTCACCTCAGGCCTGTCAAGGCGAACGTCACGAGGTGGTCATCGACTTTTGCAATGCTCGAGCGCTACATCAAGATTCGAGACGCTATCCTCGCTGTTAGTGCTGTGGAGGTGCATGTGCCTCGTGGCAATGCCCACCGCCGCGTTTCCGCCGCTGTGGAGAAGCTTAAGGAGCTGGACAGCGTCTGCATCAGGCTACAAGCCGATAAATGCAGCATGGCGGACGTTCGCTTTCTTTTTGACGCGTGCACCGCCAAGTACCCGGTCATGGGTGAATATCTCAGTCCAAGCGCGAATATCATTCACTCACCGGAGTTTGAAGATGCAATTGCTAAGCTTCAGAACGATCTCCCGCTATCTTCCAGCGAGCAGCATGCAGTGGAGAAATTTGTGGCTGAGCCGGGAGAGCCTACCCCTGCCCCATGTACCCGTGTCGACTTTGCATCCACCATTCTTCGACAGGCCAAGAAGCAGCGCTGTACGCCTCGTGTTGCGATCCAGTACGACGAGCCGCTGCATCACACTCCCCCCACCAGCAACGCTTGTGAGCGTCTATTCTCTGAGTGCAAGCTGGTACTGAGCTCGCTGCGGTCCTCAACTCTCCCGGCGAACTTTGAGCGGATGATGTTTTTACACGCTAACGAAGATATGTGGAGCAGCGCGACTCTTTTTGGCTGTTCCGGCGAAGATGGAGGACAGGTGATGTAGTACAGCTCTCTTGTTCAATGCTTTTTAATACTTGCAATAACAACTATTGTCAGGTCTCGTATTGCCATACATATTACGGAGAGGTTACCACATACAATACAATTGCAAATTGTATTTGCCATGCCCTGCTGAGAGGCTGTACCACCCCTCCTTTTACACCCTAGCCCTGTTTGGTGCCTTTATCCAGCTCCTTTAATAATACATTCAGGCTATTCAAACCAAAATGCAGCTGTTGAGCTGAGCGTTACTTGCCGACGTTTTACATGGGACGATATTTTTGTACCTTCGTATCTGCTTAAACTGGCTTAACAGGCCCGCCTTGTTCAATGTCTGTGTCGGACAAATGGTAGCACTCGTATTTGTCTGAGACTGATCTCGTATTATTAACTGAGATTATCCAAAAACAGAATTAACAGTCTAGTTTTTGGAAAACATTAATTCGATTAGTTTTACCATTTTTAATAACTTGCATAAATGGTACTAATCGTGTTGCCGACGTTGAAAAGGGATTGTGTACCGCATTAATCAGCAATACAGTAACGAATGAAAGATTGCAGGAACAGTAATTTACTCTCAGTGCTCAATTTGCTCCCAACCTCCCAGCCTTTCAATCGATTCAGCTGCTTCATGCGTTTTTTTTACTTCATTGTTGAAATCGCAGCTACATTCCTCGCTTCCAGTGATGCTCTCAAGGGTAACCAACGGCTACTGAGGCCAGGCCATTACACAGTAGCCGATTTCGAAGAGAGAGGCCCCTTACAGCGACGTGAAGGAGTTAGCGAAGAGTTTTGGGATCAATTTGGAGAAAGCAAGAATTAATCCAACCTATCATCTTACTGTGGATCAGGCGAAGCTGGAACTAATCGAATAATGTTACCGGTATTGTGCTGACGAGTACTACTCCGTCACTTGTCCCCTTCGAGGACTGCCCTGTTTCGGATTCCTGTCCACTTTTTTACACATAAACCCTAGACTACGTGTGAAAGCCCACAATAGAATGAGATTCGGCCTCATTAGACTCCGCAAAATAGCCTCCAGTATTCACTTTCACACATAGAAGGGCCAGTGCGCGTTTGCACGACGTCGAGCACGCTGCTGCACAGCAAATCGAGAAAATTTATTTTCACACGAACCGATTTGACCAACACATCAAGATTCCAACACAAAACGACAGGGGCGGGGCAACAGACCCGACCTTTCTGATAGACCCAGACCGTGGGGGGGCCAGGCTAGGGCTAATGGGGCTGACACACCCGCGTCAGCCAAATGCAGTACGTGTTCGGAGGATGTGTGTTACTTGAATGTGACCCAAATCCTCTTCGTTGTTTGGAAACAAATATTGGCTCCTGGCCTCAAGACGCCAGCCACCGCATCCTACACACCGCCTTGGTCGGGCTGTCCTCCGCGCAGCTTCCGTCTATGAAGCTGTACGCTGGGGACACGATCACCTACTACACTCAGATGTATGTCGCCGGAGACCCCCGTGGCTACAGGACTGCTGTTGTTACGCGCGTGGATGATTCGCTCGACAAGGCGGCGGTCCCAATCGCTGTCACGACGGATGATATCATCCCGCGAGCAATGATGATCAAGAAGGTGCTAAATCGTGACGGTGAGGAGGTGAAGTGCCATTGGCGCAAAGTACGCACCTACAAGCTTGTGTCGGGCGAGTTCCGGGCTGTGTCCGACCGCACACGTTTTGCCGAGGCGGTTCAGAGCATCGTAACCGCTGCTTATACGGGTGTCTTTATTGGCGACGATCAGACGCATTCCCTGACGTCCAGCTCCCCGACCACGGTTGCTGCGGCCGTTGCTCACGGTCTCACAGATGCGCACGAGTCCGAGGAAAAGGATGCACACGAGGAAATGGCGCCAGTCACCGTGGCAGCCGCTAAAACCAAGGGTAACACGAACCCCATGTTGGCCGCGATCAGTAAGCGACCCAGCACTCCCCCTGGTATTTTGGTAAGTCCTACGGCGCCACACAAGACTGGTTCCACCTCTGCGCAAGGCCATCCATCGGAGGAAATCTTGCAGCGAGCTAATGTGGGAGATGACGCTCCAGGTGACCTGTACAGGATGAACACCGTCGCTCTCATTTCTATGAACATGACACATTTTTACAAAAAGAAGGCTAGCAGTCTTAATTCCAAAGTTAAACAAGTCGAAGAAGTTGGAGGTGAGGTGAGTGTGGAGGATGGACGTCTGGAATCCGAGGAAAGGGCTGAAGACAACGAACCAGACTCTCCTAGCCAACCTGAGCAGACAGAGCAACAGGAAGAATCTAGTCAGCCCACCCCATCTCAGCTGGTATCTCTACGTGAGATTTTGGCGGACCCTACGCTCGCACAGCGCGAGGCACAGTATCACAGACGCAAGGTGAGAAAGGTTGACTACCACGTGAGTAAATCAAGACAGAAACGCTACCAGAATAGACGCGCCCCAACTCGCAGCGGCACCAGCATCTATCATGCGCACACCTTAAAGGTGAAGACAATGAAAGACACGTTGCGAATCCCTGGCATGCGAATAAAGTTGGCCAAAGTGCGCAAAAGCAGACCGGGGTATATAGCGCCCACTCTACCTGACCCCGACGACGATATGCCAGAGGTCATGGAGCCCGTGCCCTTTCCGGACTGCGTGGCTCAGATCTCGAAGAACATTGTGCCGGAGGGGCTTAACTTCGTCGACGCCGGCGACAATGACCCCTGCCTATGCATCGGAGACTGCTTCGCACACTGCTGTCAGAACGCGGACATGGCATTCTACTGCACGCCGGAGATCTGCCGTCTCGACGCACTATGCAGCAACGGGCCACGTAATCACCCAGGCCTAAGGATCTACGATACTCGACGTAGAAGTTATGGGCAGGAGAGATCGTCGCCGAGTACTGTGGAAAGTTGCATGAGTATGAGGCTATGCGCGAAGACCAACCCAAGGAGGCCATGAAGCAGAACAGCGGCTTCACCATGCTGTTAAATGAGAAAACCACGCGGGGAAACTTTGTGTATATCGAGGCGTTGGCTGCTGGAACTACCGCAAGAGTATTTTAGCACTCGTGCTGCCCCAACGTAGGGTTCGTGGAAATGCAGAATAGGGCTGTGCCGTTTGATAGCTACTGTCGAAGTTGGAGCCCAGATCACGGTCTCGTACGGTAATAATATCTGGTTTAAATGCGCGTGCGACCAGTGTTGGAAGAAGCGACCTTCACAGACTTAGTTTAAACGAGTTTAAATCCAGCGTTTATAAAAATAGCGTACGACTACGTAACTCGACGGTATAGTGTAGTGATATATTGCTCGCATACTCTACATGCGAGGTGTTTCTCCGAAGACAGTCAAGAAAAATGCGATAATCAAAGTTCTTCATGCAGAAAAGAAGACCCAGCATCCTAAATATTGGAAGATTGCTCAAATTTCGACGATGCTCTTTTTACTAAAGTGGTTGGGTAAGAATACCATCGAAGGGTTCTTCTTGAAGCTCTTTTATATTTGTTGATATATTGTCAAAGCGAAAATACACACACTGTATCGTCGATGATATAAAAGTCCTCGATTGGCTGATTATCAGATCAACTCATACCATGCAAAAAGGATTCCCGGTGCTAGTTATGTAGATCGCGCGCAAAATGCAGGATCTCAATATGTCAACGCTGGGCCGATACCCAGTGGGCGGCCACCACGATGGCCGATTCGCGAGATCACACCTTCCCTAGTGTTCTTCTGCTTGCCGCGCGTAACCAATATCTCCTGCCCTCGACAGTCCATGTACTCGAGTGTTCGCTGCGCGAAGAGGGCGTGCACACACACGCCAAAGTCGAACCAGTAGCTACATTGGCACCACATACGGGTGGTGTCAACCATCCAGCCTCCGTTCCGCTGCCCCTCGAACTCCATCCTGGCGTTGTTTACGCCCATCTGGGTACTCACGGCGATACCCTCTTCGCTGCGTGTATTGGGGGAAACTTGGATGCGTTTAGCTGGACATGAAATTACACGTACGAGTCCAGCGCTCGGAATATCACCTGGATCGCGCCAGCCCTCATACAGAAGCTCCTCACGGATCATCTCAGAGACCCTGCGTGCGAGAGTTGGAGATGGAACCACCTCCAGGCTGAATGCTCGGTCGCTTGCAGATTTATCCTGACAGCAATTACTTAGTTCCTGTAGCAACGCACCCATTTTGAGTCTACGTCGGAGGGTGTAATCACGCTTCAGCACAGCGTTAAACGTCTCCACCAGATTGTTCGTGGATGCAAACCCGCTGGGAGTCCAATAGAGCTACCAGGTAGAGAAGCGTCCCTTCAGCCATTGACAGTTAGCGTACTGCGCAAATGTCGTCAGCTCCCGAACATCTATCAGACGGCTCAAATCGTCCTCCCGCATCCGCACGAACTCGTTGTGGCTGCGCGCAAAATGCATATCGTACAAATCGCGCACTATAGTAGCCTTAGTATCCGAGGGAAACGTCTTAATCGCCGTGTACACGTTCTCCATCACGTGGAAGAAACACATTAGACTAGTGAACCGCGGGCTGTTGCCAAAAACGGCGTTGGCGGCGCTGTACTGGGCCTGGTCTGCGTCAGCCATGACGTACTGCACCACCAGGTTGTATCCTGTGAGTACACCGTACCGTCGACGCAGCGCCATGAGCGTCGACTGTATAATGGCTTGGTTTTCACCGGATACAATAAACAGTGATACTAGGTAAAACACACGCGAGCTATCGGAGATTCCGATCACAATAGCTGGGTACCCCCGATAGTTGAGCTTGTATGTAGCGTCTACATGCAGGATGAACGACTCTGGAGGCCTCATTAGTCGTATCATTAGCGTCTTGGTAGTTAAGCCGACGACGAACGACCGCTCCTCAGAAGCGTTGCCTACGACAGGCTTACCATCCACGTCCATGTCCCACGCATAAGTGAAAGGCTGATCCAAGGCTTCGTCCCCAGTGAATACACGCTCGTGGATCCACTTACGTAGGTCGTCCACGCGATCGTTTCGCGTCAAGTGAGTTCGCGAGTAGTGCTGCACGAAATTTTGGACGGTGCTCAGGCTCGGAAGGTCCTGGAGCACCATATCAAACTTCCGCGTCATAGAGTGCCTACTTCTCATTGGCCGAAGGTGGTGTAGAGTCAGCTCCCTAACATTAGTCTTCTGGCTGGGCGTCAAACGCTTCTTTCTGGGGGATCTGGCTGCTGTTACGTGCTCCCCCACCTGGAAAATCGACACCACGTTGTTCGGCATGCACGATAAAGTCTTCCCTCGCCACGGACAAGCCTGCCCATGCGAGGAAATTGACGTAGCACACGATTCCAACGCACACTTCAGTAGGCGGTAGCGCATCTTGTGTGTGGCGTCCTCTGGGCGCACCACACACGCCAGTTGGCTGCACTTGGTCACCTCGTACGTCTTCAAGGTGCTCAGCACCCCCTCGGCATCGAGGGCGGAGATGCCAAGCGCCACGTCCTTCCAGTCGATCCGCTTCGGTATCCTGCCAAGCAGGGTCGAGTAGATTGTGAAGTTCAAAATTAAAAATTCAAATGTTTGAATCGAGAAATGTGGGAACTTTGATTGGGCTGTAGTGTCTGGCTCTGATTGGGCTATTTTTGACAGCTCTAGTTGTGTTCTGATTGGGTCTTATTTGGCCCCTGTGGCGCGTCTGCGTAGAAGTGGCAGCGTGCAAAGGCATGCAAATCTATTTGTGATTCCTCCACAGCGTGTTGTGTTTGCACAGTCTATGGGTGCTCACCCGTTTTTGGTGTGGGAAGGCCGTACTGTTGGGTGTAAATCTTTCGTTCTCCAGCAAATCATGGC